ATAAAATAATTGGAAAATCTTTTTAAGCTTTGGTGCGACAACCAAAGGAGAATACATATCTGACACAGTTTCGTCAGGACAAGCCTCCAAACCATCCACCCAGCTCCCTTCATATTGAAGTCAGCACTGATGATATTGCATGGAAAAATAATGAGAACTTTATGACTGAGTCATATAACACCACCTTCACCGCCAAGAACAAACTAATTACCCAGTTGAAGTATTTCACTTTCTCTTAAGTAAAGCTGAGTAAAGAGGGTAGGAGTGACTCTTAATAGACTTTTAACAAGGCTGGATCGTATAGGATCGACTGAAAACCTAATCGAAGATGATGACTACAGTCAACACACGTTCGATGTATGGTAATTTAGCTTGGTTAATAATTTCTTTCCATATAAAAGTGAGCTTGAATGAAAAAATTTGTGATATTCAACAACATAACTAGGTAATTATATCAAAAACAGTTTGAAATTTCTTTCATATGATGCATATACTTGTGTGTTTTGTATTGTTGATTGACATAACCAGCTTTGCAGTAAAAAAAAGCCAGCCATAGGTTTTTGCACATACATTCGAAAATCATAGGATATTTTTGGTATGTGCATTTAAAATGTGATGGTTTCTATGCATCACATGTTTCATCATATAACTTAAGCTGAAAACGGTTTAGACTTTTATGCCTACTGATAGCATACCGTTGGTAAGGTATGTTCCAGTATTTTACTTCACAGATTACTTATTGAGTTATAGAAATCAATGATATCGTGTAGGTACAAATTCGATCTTGATGACCACAATGAGTTTCACTTACTAGAGTCTCCCAAGAAGAAACTCAAGACTACCCTAGGATGAAATCCCTAGTTGTTCAGTGTCTCAAATTGCTGTGATCGTTTAATTTAGGGACTGTTTGCCGTCATATAATGCGCTCATGATACATGTATAGCAAACACAGTTCACATCTACTAACAAAAAGCAAGTATTGACTAATGGCTAGTGATTGCTATTTGTGCACATTTTGATGGTTAAGGATTTACTCCGAAAAAACAAAGACTATATAACCTGAACATTTCAGTGCTTTACCATTAGGGATGAATGTGGTCTGAGTGCTCATAGGTGCTTGCTGGTCATTGAAAGTAAAACTACCCCATTTTTGTTTCAACCTCCTTAGTATTCGTCAGCTGAAATCATCTCTGTATGTACCTAGGAACTTCCGAACCTTTACACAATAACTGGCTTATGATTAGTCGCACCAAAGTGTCCAGACCTTGTTTACTAGGCTATCCATAGGATACAGGACTGATACTAGACTACTAGAAAGTTGCTTCTGGATAGCCAAATCTCTATACGTGACAGAACCGTAAGAATTGATAAACTTATCTCATTTTACAGATTATTTGAGTTCTGGATTTGATGTGAATTCAATATGCCGATCCCAATTCCTGTTCGCCCATCACTGGTGATGAGTTGTGAACATTATTTCATACACATATACCGGTGTGAACACCACAGATTGCAGTGCTGACACATTTCTTACATGCGATGATATTGGTAAAATATTATGGTACTGATCACGACACTAGAGGAAACAATAAGTTAGTGCCAATCAATTCACTCGAAAACCCCCAGAAAATTCCTCATGTTTATACTGAGTGAAACGAAAGTCACATTGTAATAAATAAATGATACCATGCAACCATGAATAATTTCAAACTTTTCTATATAATGCATCTGTGAAGTTTTTGACTGATCTCATTAACACTCAAAGACGATTGAAAAACTGATTCGAGAGTGATTAGCTCTTATAACCAACCAACTACCATTCCTGGATGTTCTAGTCAGTAGAATAAATACCGGAAAGCTGGAAACCCAAGTGTACAGGGAGCCAACACACACTGACCAAGTCCTCAACTACAGTAGCAACAACCCACAAGATCAGTTGCGGCGAGAGCACACTGCAGTATAACAACTTCATAGAGAAACGAAGAAAATTACTTGATGTCTATCCTAAAGAAGAACGGCTACCCACGAAACTTTATCAGAAGATGACTATTCTACACATCATCAACTACAAAGTCATTGACAGAAATCAACAGACGCATCCTGCTATACATAAATAATATTAATCATAAGTCACAACAAGAATACTGAAACCACTTGAAATTGGTGTGGCTCATAAACCAACAAATCCCCAGCAAACACTAATATGCAGACCGAAGGATGCGACAACCAAAGAAGACAAACAGAATATCATTTGCAAAATCAACTACAATAACTGTAGTCCACACTATATTGGATAAAGTGGTCGCCCTCTTCGCCTTCGTCTACATGAACACCAATTGTCTATCAAACATCATGACATTTCATCACTCATTTCAATGCATGTGGATAATTATGGACATGCATTCGATTTCAAGAATGTAGAAATTTTGGACAGAGGAAACACAAATATCAGAGAATTCTTAGAAGCTTGGCATTCCGGTCTGTCAGCAATCAACAGATTTATAGACATAGACCTAATCTATCAACCAATAAAGAAAGATGATAAACGACAGAAAGGTCAGAGGTGAAGCAGAGGGACAGCCAACAAGAAAATCTACACAGTCTATGACACAACAATCTAAGGAAACAACCAATCACATACCACTTCGTCAAGGCAAGCTACTAAATCACTCACGGAGAGATATTGACAGCTCACTTCATACTGAAGTTAGTGCTGATGATGTCGTCTAGCAAGGCGATGAAAGCTTCATGATTAAACAAGTCAGCTCAGAGAACACAATACAACCAAGAGTAATTAGCTTATTTCTGGGTGTGAGACAGCATGCTGAAGTTAGGATACATTGCATATTTCATTACGTCATGTGACAGAAATAGGTCTTCTTATGTGAATTGACAATGCTTTTCCTCACTTGGGGATTAATAAGTCTTGTATAAAAATCTCATAACAATATCAGATGTACCTGAACAAGCTTGCATTTACAGATAATTTTTATCATCAAATAACATCAACTCAGTAGAGACTGAGTACCATCCTATATCGAGACCCTTGAGCAGCTCATACCTCAGACCCTATATAAAACCAAGTTGATGACTTAAAAGACTGGATGGTAAACAGATTATATAAGCGGTTTGACAGTCTTCATATGAGCATGACTTCCTTCCAACCTCAACCATCACATAATGATATAGTCAAATTTATTGTGAATGGAGGTTAATGAAAGTATAACGAAGACCAGTGATGAATGGTTGCTAGTAGGGGAGTCCAGGACTCGCATCTAGTCCTATCTGAGACTCGTCTCCTGGATATACCTGGACATCAGTGAGTGACATTGTTCCAACTGTTATCTTAACCTGGTAACCACCACTCCAAACGCCAGGACGTTATCCACCAAGACACTGAGTCACAGTAACCCTTCTTGTGTGATAGGTACGTGCGGCTGTTGAGTTCAAAGTAGGACGAAACGAGAATCATAAACTCCACACATAGCCACTATCCATCAATAATGTAGAACTGAGACACAGGGAATATCGAGGAGTCCATCGGCCAATAGAAACCGGTCAGTTATGGTGCAATCAACGATGGGATTACACAAGTCACAACATGCAATGAAGACTACATAACGGCTGATCAGTTTGGACAAGAAGTTAGATAAAGTAAACTATTTCGAGGCTTATGTGTGACCAGGAAGAATATTAAGATAACAAGCTGAAAACTGCGTAAGGAAAGAACAGTATGTAAGGAAAGACGTGATTTTAAAGAATGTAAATGAAAACCACCAAAAGAGAATTGGTTGAACACTTTCCTGTTGTGCATAAATCTCACATTTCTCCTCATGGATAGCGAGTGCTTCTGAGATGCAAATATTGCGAAGATTTCTTTTCACTCTACAAATAACTTTGAGTGAAGAGATCTCAAAATAATTTCTTACATTCATAATCTTTTTATAGCCATTTAGAAAACGAATCGTTGCATTTACTTAAACGAGCTTGGTGGAATAATGTAAATACCCATTGACTTCCACTAAAAATGTATACATTTTCAGTTCTAAAGCTTCAACGAAAAGAAGTTCCCGGAAAAATTCTTTTCTTTGATGTATTTTCCCATCTCTTTATTTCATGTTCTGATCTTCTGTACATTGAAAACTATACAGAGGAATATGTATATTCTCAGAGTTTTCAGTTTGCAAGGATGCATTTTGTGTACTACAGGTCGATAATATGTTTTCTGAGTAAAGGTTAATGAAGTTACAACCTGTACTGACCAACTGCACTCTTTCAGTAGTATAGAAAGGACTAACTGACTATATACTGACTTCCTTAACTCTGCCTTCTCTTTTGTTTCCACTTACTGATACCAGTATTAAGCTACCTACAACTTCCTCAACCTCTAACCCTGAGACTGCTGCTAAAGATCCATGCCAGCGACACATCATTCCTAGTCTCCTAAAATCTCGTTGCCGATTTCCTAATGTATACTTCAACATAGGAAGAGGACTAATGGACGTCTGTATTGTGATCTGATTAGTGAAGTCATAGCAATTGACAACCCTCCACAAGTTAAATAAGTTATTTTAGAGACACTTTTAACATCATATTTTCTCGACCCTTCATAGTTTTGAGGGTTAACTGCCAGAATACCTCTAGGTCAACTCTGGATATCATATTAATTCTAAAACTATCTGGTTTTTGGAGAAAACTAAGCCACGTACGTCTCAAGATTTCTTTTTTGTGCTGATCATATCTAAACAATGTACCGTCTCTATGAACTCTGACCTACTGAACAGTGCCCAACAACTGTTATATTACCTGGACTAAAATCAGCTTCTTTGTGTATCCTTCTTGTTGACTCAATGCTTCAACTGTTGATGTGATCATGGTCAATAGTTTCGCTCAAAATATTACTGTCACTAAGATACCATTATTGGAGCTAAACTTGCTTTCAAAAAGTTCAGTTGCAATATGCTTTATTTACTTAAGATAAATGATATTCTGAATTTCAGCATCTATGTTGGATGGAGGTATTTACATATTTACTGGCATTGTGATAAACAAACTAACTGGACCTGGTGCATTTATTGCTTTCATATTGGCTGGTTTTGTTGCTTTACTAAACTCTTTGAACTATTCAGAGTTGGCTTGTCGTATTCCAAAGGTAGGTAATTCATTAATCTCATATCATATTCTGAAAAAGTGGTAGTTCTTGCTCTGCTTAACCTGATGAATGTGGTTAAATGTATGAAGTTTAACACTTGACATTGGCATTCTGGGGGCCCAAGAGTACTTTTATTTTACTGAATTGCTTTATCAAGAGTTGGTCGGTTTGAGGATAGACTATATTCGTGGCAAGAAACTGACTGAGTTTTATTGAAATTAGGAACACTAAACAATGATTCAAGATTATTTCGCTAGTCCTCAACTTCTTGTGGTCACTTCTGTACATAAGGTTCGGCTGCGAAGCCTTAAACTTTGGTAGTCTACTTGCTGCAAAATAAGAGGGGTTCAATTTTAATCTAAATTAGTGTTCAGTATGTATGGTTTAGGAAGAGTTATGAATTTTCTAAAGGTTGCTGGTTCACTAAAACTAGTTCCCTTGGCATAAATGTGAAAAGTAATGTAGTATTACGCTTAATCTATGGTGTTATATTAAATGAAGGATCCGTTGGTTGAATACTAGCTTGATACACCTTCGCCTATCAACAACTGAATCAAGTGATCACTTATTGCATCCACTTAAGTATATTTGGTATTCTGACTGTACAAAATCTGATCGCACAAATAAAGCCATATGAGTGATCAGTATAAGCCATCAGTAAACATGATGGTTCCTAATTTCTAACCAGTGGTAGTTATATCTAACAAGGATATAAGGTTCAGAAGCTTAATTCACTCATGGCATAAAGTTAATTGCATCTGCTTCAGTTTCATCATGAATAAGTTCACAAAGAGAGCTATTACCCGAAAGCTGAGGTGGCGAATTGCTAACACATACAACTCTGACAGATGTTAATTGGATGGAGGCAATCGGTAGAAAGCCCGACTTGACTTGGGTTTCATGTTTATTGACACTCATCAGCAAGGCGTATTAGCAACTTCTACGGAACTGATGTCTGGCCTGAGATTTAAACCCACTTCACCCAGTGCTGAAGTCAGAGACATTACTATTGTGCTATTCGAGCCACGACTGACCTCTTATATAACTGAATTACGTACACTGATTGGTCAGTGGCAGGTAACCAACTTCATGTTGCTGATCGAATTCTATCCATCATCAGGCCAGTTTGCTCGAAATCACAATGCACTTTTATAAATTTTAGTTGGGTGGAGGTAATTGGCGAGAAGTCCTACTTGACTGAGGTTTCGTGCTTGTTGTCAGTCATCACCAAGGCCCATCTAAAGTCTACATTTTTGACTTCAGCAATGTTTGACGTGGGTTCAAATCTCAGACGGAACATCAGCTCTGCAAAAGCTGTAGATACACCTTCGTGACGCGTGCCAGCAAGCAGAAAACCGTAGTCAAGTACGGCTTCCAGCCGATAGCCTCCATTCAACTAACATTTACCAAAGTGCATCGTGATGTTGAGTGAACTAGCCTGATGATCGATAGAATTCGATCAGCACTCAGGATTAGACAACATGAAGTTAGTTACCTGTCAGGGACCAATCAGTGTGACAGACAACTTTATTTATCAATCTCTGATTCTACCCATGTGACCATCTTTAGCATGTTCTCTAAAAGTTTAAGTTCCGAAAGTTGGAAAAAATAAAAATAAATCAGGTTGAAAATGTTCGTAAAGGAGTTTTAACTAAATGATTAGATGTGAAGAATGGATTCAATGTAAACATAGTTTCCTCTTATATGGCAGTGTAACTGAACTTCCTAGCAATCATGAGGAATACTTTTCAAGGGATTTAACAATGTGTTAATTCTTGTACAATCCTATCGTTAATTCGACCATAATTAATCAGTCCGTACTGGTATTTGGGCTCCCGTATAGGTGTCTCAGTATTGTCTGTCGTTTCGGTTATATAGTGAAGCTTGATAGTGGCTAGCAGTGGAATCCAGAATGCACGTCTTGTCCTATTTAGGACTCGCCAGATGGATGTACATGTTTCCCAATGAGTGACACTGGCTGAAAGGATGTTGAAAATTAACAAGCTCTAGGAAGCGATTTATTATATTGCAAGACTCGTTAACCAGTAATTCCTCCTTAAAGTTAAAATCGTGGTTTGGTGTTTCCTAATTCAAGAAACACTGATTCTTTGTTAATATTTTACAGTCAACAAGCCTCATAATAATATCTTATGATTTCTATTTAGGATATCTCGTGCTATACACACACTTATACTATCTTGGGTGAACTTCCTGCCTTCCTAATTGGTTGGTCAATGATGCTGGATAATATGTTGAGCATGTCAGTTATTATACGTAGTTGGACCAGTATCCTTGATATCCTCACTGGAAGTGCAATAAAAGCTTGGATTATAGAAAATATTGGAAGGTAGTTTAACAACTGATGAATATAGTTATTTTTGTTTATAAAAGCGTCATATATCTTCAGTACATGCTGAAACAGCATATTCTTTTGCCTTATTTTAGTATTGCTACGTTTCTGTTGTTTTTCTTTATCTCTAAAGAGATATATATGGCTACTCGAACTGATTCTAATTGGCTCTGGGTGCTTTTCAGCTAACAATGTACACCAGATCTGAGAAAATACCACTACTACTTTGAATATTAACCCTAGAAGTATATAGATACAACTGATTAATTAGCTCATTTAATATTTTGGAACCGAATGCAGAAAATATGATGTGATTCACAAAGTTCCCTTCGTTAGTGGTCTTCTCTGGGAGTCATCAGAAAGTTCTGTTTAATCAGGAACATTCTGGCTTCAACCTGCACCATTTGGCGGAAATGAAAAGATCATTCATATATCATTCTTCTCTGACTTGTTAGATGGAGTAGGAAACCACCCGCAACAGCTAGTAAATAACTGGATTATGAACTAATTTTCGCTATTTTTGGGTCAAGATTCTGAAGAATATTCAACAAGATACTATTATGTAACGTCGAGTTGTAGGTAACGTGTAAGCTAGCTTGAATTCATGTTGACCTGTGATGCAAACCACTATGTTGCCAGCCAATCCGCAACAGCCAACAACTTAAATACTGCCTGATACTTATTAATGACTTTTTCCTAGATAGATTTCCCGAATTTCGAATGAAAAGCTTTAACCTTCGGTGGTAAATACTGGCATTAAAGAAATGTTCGCTTTCTGAAGGAGCGTTCGCTGGCATAGTGGAAAGGGTGCAGAACTTTAGAATAATTTTTGGTCAAGGGTCAACGTAAACTAGATAAAGGAAAGATGGTTATGTTATAAAGATGAGAAATTACACTAGGAAACTAAACAGAGGATAAGGAGATGAAATAAAATTTGATTATAAAATAGTTATCTGGAATGACCCGTGATGGCCATAACAGAAACAGAGATTACATGTAACTCTTCTTTGGATTTCTGAATTGTCAATGCTTTACCTTCGTCATTTTTCTTCTTCATCATTTGCGTTAACAATTTTGTGTACAGAAGGAATATTTCAACACATATTGGTTACATTTGCTTGAAAAGTTCCGTTATCGACAAAACTCAGAGGATTCGAAGGTTTACAGCTATAAAATCAAGATCTCATAATTGTAGACCAATGAATTCACAGGAAACAATTTTATGATATTTTATAAGTAGTGAACAAATGAATAAACTTTTACACAATTTATACTTTTGGTTGAGATTCGTTAATGATGAATGAGTTTTACTAGAAAGCCAAGTGAATAAGAACCGTCGGCTGATTAATAAGCTGTACTAAAACAAACTACTTTAAGTTCTTATGGATAGGCTGAAGCCTGTGCATTCAACAGCGACATTATTAACAAATATAAAGACAATATAACATGTTGACCTCTGTGTTTTGTGGTACAAACTGATTACAGCCAAAACAGACAGAAAAATGAAATCCAATACAGTAGACGATCATGTTCTCTAAGGTTTGTGTGGATTAAGCATACTTAGTTTCTTTAATTGTATTATTTTGTATCCGTATAAGACAAGTCAGCTATATCCAGGATAGAAAATTTTTTCTTATTATAGCTTACCGAAGTTACAGTAAAGGCTTTCTGGTAGAAATTCATGAACAAAATAACTGCCAGAAGAACTAAAAACTGCTCCAGGTATTTAGCAACACATTGTAGCGTACATTTTTTTCATTTACACAAAAAATGAGAGTAAAAAATGAATAACAATTCCACTTAATGTAATCAATAACTATAAATGCTTTTCAATATCAGTTTTATGCTCTGCCTTCTACAAAAATTCACCATTTTGTTACTATTTGAAGTCTGGAATATTATACTGATATTAAAATTGGAATTTTTGCGAAAAACACTTTCCCTTCTACCTTCGTCACTATCATCGTCTTCAAGGAAAACTGAATAGTTCAAAATTTTCTTTTAAACACAAACTTTAGTTACATTTTCAACTTTATTCTGTCGTTGACTTACACGCATATCATGGTTGCTTTTACCTAGCACGTATACCAAGCTTTAGTGTTTTGGTTAGAAATTGTAAGGTTTACATTCAGAAACTATCGGTAACTGAAAGTGGACTATTTTCGAAAGAGGATTGAGCTTATGGACAGATACATTCCTCTTAACATTAACAAAGTTATTGTAACTAGTTCATCGTTAGAAAAATTGTATTCCCTTGCCAAGATTTTAAATACAGGCCCATAATCGGTGATGGTGATGAGAACCACAACGGTGGACACGGTGAATGACTGTTTATCAAGCCAACTGCAACCATTGTAGCTAAAATGTTATTACAGTCTTACTGTGAGTGTCGGTTGCGAACAGGTTATTTATGTTCTTCCGCTAGCTCCCTATTTCTCTGGCTTATTTCACTGGATCATTTTGTTGCCCATGTTCCTAACCTAGTTGTTTAGTTCCCATCACCTATTCACCATCTGATCTCATTGAAGATGCGTGCCTTATATTACTTAAACGTACTTCTAGTAGTAGTACAGCCTATTATGGTAGAAGAATAGCGACTGTTTTAAGTTGCAGTGGAAAATGACTGACAAAACTACCATTCAGCACCATTTAGTTTGTTTATTAGACATATCACAAACGTGAGCAGTATTACTTGCTAAATAATATTTCAGGGGCAATTCGTCTTCCATAGACAGTCGGTATCATATAATAATAAATCAGAATAAATTGGATCCAAAATATTACTTAGTAAATATCATTGTTTATCATTTTGACCATCTGAGATAGTCCTGGTTTGGTGGACTAGTACTGATATTGGGTGATGATTGAGGGTGAAATGTAAATTTGGACTGCAGTAGGATTCGAACCAGCGACCACTTGGTTTCCGACCCAGTGCTCTACCAATTCAGCTACGAGACTTGACTCCTGACCACATTTTTATTTCACTTCGATCACCAAGCGTTCAACCCGACTACAATGGGAATTCGTAACCTGTTACTACCACTTGATTGTACTCACTCTGGCTTCCCAGTTAAGATCTCTCATCCGAATCCGAACCCACTTGAATTAGAGAGGAAGCGTACTGCACTGATTATCATCTCTATTTCAAGTTGATTTGTACTGGGATGAGAAGTCTTGACTGAGAAGACAGTGTGAGCACGATCAAGTGGTAGTAACGCATCATGAATTCTTATGGCAGTGGAGAAAAAACACTTGATGAGCGAAGAGAAATAAAGGTCTGATCAGTGGCATTTCGTAACTGAGTTGGTAGAGTGCCAGACCAGAAATCCGGTGGTCCTCCTGCAGCCCGAATTCTCATCATGCCCTCAATTATCACCCTCTATAAGTAATACCGTCTCACTGATGTTACACTCTAATATGCTGCTTGCTTTTTGGTCTATTATTTACTAAACTTCACGCAATAACGCCTTCATCAATCTGGTTTAGGTAACATTGTGTATCACACTTATAAAATGGTATACTGTAGTAGCATAATCTAGCACCAGACATTTTAGTTGAGCCAATAAAATAAATTACTGTATTCTCTACAAATAGATAACCAAAAAAGGAAAACTAGAAAGATAAACTAATCACTTAGTACAACTACTGCACAATAAAATAGGTATGAAAAAGACTAAACTTTTCAGGTAGTACAATGTTAAATACAAAGTTTGTCCCCTTCTCCACTTGTGAGGGTTTTATGTATAGAAGTTACCAACAGGCACATTAACAGCTAGTACTAGTGAAGTGTGCGGTACATACAACTGAATGTTTCGTCAACTGATATCATTCTGTGATGAATACCAAACTGTAGTCAGTAAATCCATACAGACCTCCAGGCTGAATTACTGTCTAGTGCTCACTAGTAACTTGCTTCGAGATGAGATTCCCCAGAGTTCAGATGAGGAGTTGTAACCAGTAGGGCTAACAAAGTTGGACGTGGGGACAGTTATTCAACAGTGACACTGGATGGAGATCGAGCTGTATTGTGAACTGACAGAAGTAGGAAATAGGGACCACTGGATTCCAACCCAGCGACTCAATGGTAATGTTCTTGACCACGGAACCTAAAAATCCTGAGTTTTTGCTACCATGTCATCATCAAGTTTTGCCACATGATAACAACATATGCCCTTCGTGTACCTAATTAGGATAAATACTTCTCAGTTGAAGGACAGAATTAAAGCGATAGACGAATTTTAGATAAGATAACAAAACCCTGAATTTTGTTACGTTGACTCAAATTCTTCCAAGGATGCTTATAACAGTTAATTCACTTGAATTATTCACTGCTTCATTATACTTGCACTCAACCCTTAGATGTTGTTTGGCGATTTGGTAGGTGTAATTCTGACTTATTTCTATTCTCTTTTGTGAAAGTACCCACTTGTATTTTCTACCAGTCTTGGTGAACAGTAATACAGAAAAGACCACCTACAGTCGGAAATTACAGTGGACTCTTTTTGAGTCATCTTTCATTTTTCTGTGCTGAAAATATTAGATGTGACAAAGAAATATGCTTATGCGTTAGCGTAAGAAGATAACATGTAGACCAAATAGATGGAAATAGCTTGACTCGTGAAAATAAAGCAAAGATTTTGACTTTTAAACACTTATATGCATCGATGCGAACTAAAACGTATTGATGAGGCTTGCCTCTATTTTATGCAGAAAATGGGTCTGTTATTGGGGCAGTGTAATTTGTAGTTTCAAGTTCATTTTTATTACGACTTATATCCAACCTCTTTGATGATATTGTAGGGGTTTCATCGGCTGTCTTCGTCGAATCTTTCCCTTCACTGTGTAGTGGATACCACAAACAAATGTTTTGGGATCTATCCTTGCTGGGAAATTATCAAAAAGGACAATTGATAACCCATATATTCACAGTTATCCATTACTTCGCTGTTTGTATTTCACCCAAAAACGGTTGTTTTTCATCCACTGAGGATTACAAACTACCAAACTCCAACTTGGTTTGGATACCTATAAATTTGTAGTTATATTTATTCCGGTGCTAACTAATAATCTCCTGTTTTTAAGTGAATGGAAATGGGGTATAAAATGAGTTTGATAGTTTCATACACCTTTACTTTGTTGATATGTGTATACACTTTATACCTTACTTTGAAACTTTATTACTTTTGTATTTCAGACTATCACCTCCAGATGGAATGCTCTCTGAACATCCTGATTTCATCAGTGGTCTACTGATTATAATCTTATGCATTGCTTCTTGTTTTATACCGCATCAAAACTTGAAGTTAAATGCAGCTTCCAGCGTTTTAAATGTTGGCATAATACTGGCAATTTCTGTATACATGTTATGCTATGCTAAAGTAGAATACTTGTACATCACATCTGCTGATGACGCAAAATATATTCAAATGCAGAATTCTAACATCCTACCATATGGAATTTTAGGCTTGATAAGTGGAACAGCAGTTTGTTTCAATGTTTTCATTAGATCACATGGGGTATCAGCACGTGCACAAGAAGCTAAAAAGCCTACTTACAGCTTACCTATAGCAAATATTATAACTGTGTTCATTGTCGGGCTCATAGCAATTATAGCTTCACTGGCACTAGCAATGTACTACCCTTGGTTTTGGATCTCAAATGAAGGTTCATTTTTAACTGCATTGCGAGAAAACACTTATGATGGTGGGTCAAAATATACCCGAATAGCAATGTTCTACTTTTTTGGCATCGCATCTTTGATTGGATTAATTACCAGTTTGTTATCACCGATGGTATCTGGTCTGAAAATTTGTCATGCTATGACACGAGATGGTCTTTTCCCAAGTATTTTTTCTACAACTTACAAGCCGTTCAAGGTAAAATGTTTTAATCTACTACTTTAGAATGCAAAACGTCATAGAAAATATTTGAAGGTCAGGTTATTAATGTTCAGACTGGGTTATTCTCTTTGCCAGAGCTTTAGTTGGTAAACGTTGCAGTATCATACTAGACATTGTTATTAGTGCACCCCAGGCTCACTAGGGGATGAAGTTTTTGGTTGTACATGGGTATTTACAATGTGCTACTTTGCTTAGTTTTAACATGATTGGTTGGTGCGTGGTCATATGCTTAATTAGACTGGCTAACTTCACACCTCTGGTTTCCTCAGAGGTATGTACAGCTATGCAACTGGTTGATCTAGTTTGTTCAAAACATTTGCCAACTAGAATCCAAGCTCAGAGAACAATCCACTTTGAAAATAGTATAAAGGGTAATTAAGTCTTGGAAATATATGAATATCTTAAATGACTGATTTGTTTTTTATTGACTAGTTTCGCTAATAAAATATTCCTTTTTGAGAAACATTTCCAATAATCATTTTTTCATTTTGTTCCTTATAACGACAGTTACGCACTTGTGGTAGAAAAACGTGCAGCAACTGAGGGGAAAAGTTGAATTTTAATCTGGAATATTAAAATGTAAAAAACGATACAGAATTTATAATACAAATAATATGCCAATGGTTTAATCTACTACTATCTATGTCATCTGTGTATCAGTGATTGCGGTAGATATTAATTTGTCATTATAGAAGCATAATTTAGCTGTCAAATCGAATGTACTGTATTCAATCTTTGAAAACCGAATGAAATGAACAAAAGACTTTGCTAACAGATGTACAGTGACAGCAAAATGATCAAGTCTCTCTTAAGTCGCTCATGAATTCAGTGTCTAACTGCATAGATTTGAATATTCCTTCTGACCCGTCAAATACTTCTTGCTTTCCGGAGCATAAAACTGAGGATTACCTAAAAGTCGCTCCCAATGCAAAATGCAGTGTTTTTCCGTGTCATGTTACCTACCCGAAGTAAATGTGTGACACTATTCAACTGATAGATGACGCTTATTTCTTGTCATCTAAGTCATCAGCTGGGGTATGTAGTGTGAATAATTTATCTGTCAAGTTGGTATTCATCATAGACTAACATCAGTTGGAGGAACATTGGAAACCTGGGAGCACTGAATAGCTGTTTCATTCTGGTATGGGATTCTCCAGTAGTGAGCACTACTGGGGAGTCCTACACAGGAACGAAACAGCTGTCCAGTGCTCCCACGTTTCCAATGTTCCTCCAACTGACATCAGTCTGTGATGAATACCAACTTGAAAAATCACTAAATCCCCACAAATTCAGTTGATCTAATGCTCATTGGTGACTAGCTTTGAGAGGTGATTCCTGAGATTTCATAGAGAAGTCATGATCAATGGGGCGAACCCGGTGACCATGAGGACAAATACTCAACGATGGCACTTGGTGATGGTCGCACTATGTCGTGAACTGACAGAAGTAGGAAATACCAACCACTGGATTTCGACTCAGTGGCTCAATAGTAACGTGCTGGCCACGGAACATGAAAGTCCTGGGTCCGAACCCTAGAGAGGAGGGTCATGGGTGCACACTCCTGCGGAGTGCCATACTAGAACGAAATAGCTGTCTACTGCTCCCAGGTTTCCAACGTTCCTCTGATGTCAATACACAGTGAACACCAACTTGAAAAAATCACTAAAATCCCCACAAACCCTCAAATTCAGTGACTTATTTGTTGAATACGTTGATTCAAGTAACAACCTAATTTTCTGCCTACTGCAATCTAATAAACAACACTTGAATTGGATAATAGTTGAATCAGTTCTGGTGTTCACGGAATAATAGAGTTTCCTGAATGATGTAAGAATGGTTAACTATCTTGTGTGTACGGCAATAAAAGCAACCACAGGAAGTCTGCATATTCTATTAACTTCGTACTACATTCATTAAACCCACATTTTTCATTGAAAGTTAATTGATCATATATGAAACTAAATGTCAAGTAAATTCTTCATTGATTGAAATAATTTATAATGTTTTAAACACTACTATTACTAAGACACTTTGAGAATCTTTGACATTAATTCAGAGTTTATTTGGTTGAATTCCATGTTATATGTACAAAGGGTCATAAAAGAAGGCTACCTTCAATAGATGCAGTATTGTGTTTATTGATTCCTTTAATTTTCCGTCAGTATACGCCGTCAAATTGCTTAGCTTCAGTTGACAGATGGACTGCTTTACGGATCCTCGATACTGCCTGAATATTCATTATATTGTACTTTGTTTGGAGGCCAGCAGTGGATTCCAAGACACGCGTTTTGTCTCATTCGAGGATCATCAGCACCCCACTGAGTGTTGGTGTTTCCACTGAGACTCAAACCCATTGTCCATCGCTTCCTAGTGGATAACACTTCGGCGTTTAAAGCGACGGCTACTGGATTTCAGTCTCAGTGGAAACAACATCACTTACCCGGATACAGGTAAATTTAGTTGAGGTGTCCCAATTAGGACAAAACACCCTTAATGGATTCCACTGCTTGCAGCCAAATATATTACAATATAAGGAATATAGTGTTTATAGATGTAGAGATCATCTAAAGTTCACAGTATCTGCTGTCGACTGAAAAGTATACTATAATGAAAGTCTGAAGAACTATCAGGTTATTGTACTGTTGAAGTCTAGAAGTTTATAACCATTAGGCATATAATCGCATGTTTAGAGGTTAAAAAGAAACAGTCTTTTATACTCTTAACTCAAGTGAAAGGTTATGCAATGAGTCTACAGGCAGTGACAGAAACACTGGTCATTATGAATGCAAATTATTTACATCTCTGAGAAAATGAAAGGATATCCGTTCAAATCAATAGATAGGCTTTGTCATTCACTTAACAGTCCCTTCTCATCTGCAGCTTTGCCAACCATTTTTTGAATACTATGTTAAGGGTTGTCTTTACTGCTTAATATCACCATGGTAATGTAAGTACACTTGTACTAATTTCTTATTGGTAAAACAACTTCTTAAGGAATGACTTTTTATATTCTAAACCACCATATAAATCCAAAAGTGCTCATACTTTTAATGAATGTTAGTTGGTTGGCAACAATCGGCAGGTAGTCCTGGACCTAAGTTTTGTGGCTTTTTGGCATTCGTCAACAAGGCGTATCTGCAACTTCGAAAGAAGTGATGTCCCTCATGGAGTTCGAACCCGTTTCACCTAGTATTGTAGTCAGTAACGTTACCACTGTTTCGTACTCTTTGTTTACTCAGTTTCAGAGATTATCACTTGCTGATAATTTTACTCAGAAAAATATTTAACCCTATGAACCTCTTCTTGTGGTTTAAGTTGTCCATTATACAGACAATCAAAGATTTGTGACACTAAATATTTACTAAACAAGGCACGTTTTTCGCATCTGGTTTTCTGGTACTTTAGAAATATTGAGCTGGTGATAAAAGTCAATTCTTTTGTGTAATAAAAATTCTCCGGATACCAACAAGAATAATGACTGCTAAGGGTATTTTGTGACTTTATCTTTTACCTCAGACTTTATTAATCGCAGCAGCGGTAAGTGAATAAAGGATGAAGGCGTCTATAAGTAGTATTTGCGTCCACTCTAACAGTTATTAAGTTGATAACGAACGGTATCTTTCTTGCTTACATGGACACTTGTTGGTAGGAATTTTAGTTTACTGGGATTTATCAGATAACTAACCTTAAATCACCATCCAAAAAGGCCGGTTAGTCAATAATTAAAGATGACATCAGTGCCACAAAACGCAGAGTAGCGTTAACAAGGTTTGCTTTTAAAAAAACTTAGACTTGGAACCTTTGAGGTCAGGAAGGACATGTAGTAAGGACATTATCCCCTAACACAACCGATTATTAAAACTGACTATCAGGTATACAAATACCAAGGTTCACAAAGAATTCAACTACGGTCATAATCACCAGGCTTTAATGTAGGTAAGGAGTGGTAAGAAAACACTTCAGACCTAGGGAGTGAGTATGTCTTTAATAACTCCATTTGAGCAAAAATGATGTGGTCCATAAATCTTAGGTGACTGATGCGCACCTGATTTGGACCGCAAATGAAAGGAATTTTAAACTAAGAGAATGATAAAGTCCTCCACAAACAATATCAGCCGTTTGATTGTCGTTTTCATGTATTTTTAACTGGTTCATAGCACGGTTGATGATCACAATGGAAGCTAGAATGTACAGTGAAACCTTTTCCTTGAGACAATGAATGGTTACTTTTTATTTTTTATTAATGAGCCCTCAAGTTGTAAACAGTTCAGTTCCTAGTTTATCGAAATTTTATTTCTAGGGATTTTCATCACTGATTGACTTCAGACAGAGAAGAGGTGAAAACCTAATTATGGGCTTCTCACTTATGCACATTCATGACGTTTCACGAAGAGGAGGCAACCACTCATTCACTGGATCAGAATCCGGTGATTCGGGTTTTTCGACTTCTCCCAACTTGTGTTATAGGACGACTACCGCCCAATGCCATCTGTAAGCATCTTTCCTCACATTCAATTTAGTTGACTACACACGTCATTTCTATCCTCTCGGACTTCAGGAGGCCCGTCTTTGACTAATGTTGGTCCGTGCTGAAAACTCCTCACAAACTTTTAAACTGAACAAAAGGTTTTTCTCTGAACTGACACATAATTTTGTTGATATGATTTTCCTTCTCTCCTAGATACCTATTTTTACTGCTGCAATTTTCGCACTTGTGACAGGTGTGTTCAGCATCATATTCAGTATCGATAGTTTGGCTGATTTCTTAAGTTTAGGCACTTTAATTGCCTATAGTGTTAATTCAGTCAGTATCATTTGTGTACGTTACAGGCATCAAGCAGATAATCCACAGCTGACAAATAAATCTCATCAAACCAATGAAGGTGGTGATGAAGTAGACTTGGTAAGTTGTATTTGTATGTCATAATTGATGTTGAAATAAAAAGTTTCCCGTTAGTGTTAGCGTGTAGAATAACTTTCATTTTGTTTCTCCAAGTTGCTCCGCTGAAATTGTGTTTCTCATTGATTAAGTTTCACAACCGTGTCATAATAATGGAATCAGTCTATGGATATTCTCTCATCTAACTGCTATGTTGTAATCAACGCAGCTGTGACATAACTATATGTGAATTCATTTACCTTGGGAATTCTCTTTTGTAGTTTTTAGTCGCCGATAAGCTGATATAGTAGTAGGGTTTGTAACAGACGGTAACATAGATGCATATGTTGATTAGTATGACCATTCATCACTTACTTGATTAAATCATTCAAAAGCATAGATAAGTAGATGAAATAGAGTTTATTGCTTTTATCAACGTTTATGTGATAACCAGAAGTTATTTTATATCCCTTTCAAGATAATGATCTATTTAGTTTGTCTAATTAATGTTATTATTATCCTCAACCTTTTCTGTGGATTTATACATCTTACTAGACTATGTATTGAATAATCTTAAGAATAGTCAACCTTATTGGAAGTTTTAGCACCTTCCTCAACTTTCACTAGCCTTAATAATATTTTGCATTCCGTTCTAAATCGATATTTCTTATTCAGATTGATGTTTTTCGTAAATATCATTAGAGAATTCTTGAAATAATGTGAATTCATAGCTTTGTTTTTATATTCAAGTTTGTATACAAGTCGGATATATGCATTAACTGTAGTACTGATGGATTGAAAAAAATTAGTCACATGTAAGCTGAAATTACAGGTATTTAAAGTAACAAATTAAAACTAGCATTATCTACTGTTTTAACTCTGAAGTTAAGAGTAAATGAAGTTTTAAAGTACATATTGAAAAGTGTTTAATGATGCTTGTTCCACAGAAGAGTCTTTCAATGTTTCTACACTTGAAATATTCTTCCAAAGTTCTTTATATACAAAAGTCAGAAAATATAAAAATAGGATGAGATAAAGTTGTGAGATTGAAACATAAGAACTTCAATTTGATATCGTTTATCAACAACTACTATGAAGGCTGTGTTTTTCGCCCTTATGCATAACTATGTCACAGTAAAAACACTAAATATACAAGGACACAGTTAACGATACATTCGAATTGTTAGGATCATTTTTATGAATGTCCCATTCAACGGAATTTCGAATTAGTCATGTATTTTGTAATCTGGTGGATTAGTGGGAAGTATATAAATATCTAAGATAATAAAGCAATATGCATTCTATCAAGATGAATGAATATGGGCACTAGTTATTTTTCTTAGAATCTGTTACCAGTCACTTCCACCAAAAAGTATATAAAATACCTCAGGATTTTATATTTTACTGATGAATTTTGATCTTCTCTTCAGCAAATAGAAAAAGATATATGAAAGCAACATTTATAGTGATTAGGAACTGATTTTTTTACTGTAACCTTCGTTTTGGGAAAATTTATCTTCTTAAGTGAATGTTTTGCATAAACGAAAAATTGATAAGATTATTGTTATGATACTTGTGACTTCCCGTTGCTATACTGTATCGAATTGCTCGGTTTCTGTTGGCAGATGGGCTACTATACTGACTCCTCGATACTATTAGATATTCATGGTGTTATATTGGTCTTAGTGACCAACAGAGGAGTTCAGGATGCACGTTTAGTCCTATTTGGGATTCGTCAGCTAGATAAACCTACACCAAATAAGTTATGTTGTTCCCATTGAGGCTCTGGCATTTGAGGCGATGGCTACTGGACTCGAGCCTCATTGGGAACCATATCACTTACTGGGGTGCAGGTACATCCAACTGACAAGTCCTAAATAGGATAAAACGTGAGTCCTGGATTCCTCTGTTGGTCACCAGGGTCAATATAACTTGATAAGATTATGTTCAGTTGGTAACGTTCTATGTTGGTGATCAAAGGTGATCATTTAAAAGTTCTGTTTCAACTACTTTTTATGCTTCTCGACTGCCAGGTATATTTGCAGTGTAAATGGAATTATTGTTCACTTGGAGTTTCTAACCAATATCACTTGGGACAGGATTCAGTTGAACTTTCTTCTGGTAGTTGTGTCTGGTTTTCTCAGTTTATTAGTGCAGTATATGAGTTATGTCCCAAATTATTTCTGGGATATAATTAATAATTTCCAGATCTTTCATTGAGATTACTTCATTAGGAGAAAAAAGTGATTATTAGACAAGAACGCGAAAGCCCCCAGCACGGTAAAGTGAACTTATAAAAACTATATTCAGCCTAAAATTGAAATATTTCTATATAAATAAAAACAAGCATAAGAACTAGTTAACCGCAGTGGCATATTTTTGATGAAGCTGAATAGAAATAAAGGGGATGACAATTTCACATGGTAACTTATGTTGACCTTTAAAAGACTATGAAAATTCTGTCACACAGCCACCACCAATATTATACAGTTTTCCAGAATTTCAACTATGGAGAGGTATTTATCTGACGAAATATACCCATTTATTTATGAATAAGAACAAGACATGTATCACTGAAGAAATGTTTCTTTTCAACTTCATTATCAAGCTGTACAGTCGTATTTTCAATCGGTAAAATGACAGAAAATTGCAATAAAAGGTTGCTCAGTTAATATATATATATATATATATATATATATATATATATATATATATATATATAGGGAGAGAGAGAGATGGATGACCTTTTGTCTACTGAAGGCTAGATTCAAAAGTTCTGTATTACGCACTTCCAAACTACGATCTTCAAACGTTTGATCTCATGACTTACCGCATGTTAGATAAATACCAAGTAGCGTGAAGACTTCTGTTTCGAAATTATGTATCTTTTTACCTTCCCTATCAGGTCCATTCACTAGGTGAGTCTAGTAGAGTACTCTGTCAAGTACACATACTTTTCCTTTGTTCTTTCTTCGCCTCTGATGTTTTGCTGGAAAGGTAACTACACAGATGAAGTACTACAGAAAACGTGTTGGGATGCCAGGATTTATAAAATATCGTTATGGTTATCATTTGTCTGATAAAGTGTTGAAATGTATCAACTCTGGTGTTCCTGGGGATATGATTGTCTTTACCATGGCTGTTTACATCGTAGTGAGTGGCGCTTTCGCTATGTGTTCAACTTATGGACAGAATTCTGAAGTTGCAATGTCCCCATGGAGGCTGATTTTTACTATGTTACTCATTGTAATACTTATACTTTGCATAATGTGGATTGCTGTTTTTGAACAATACGGACCACCTGATGAGGATTTATATCGAGTAAGTCATATGTCATTAACTTATACTGGGGAGGAATGAGATTGGGATACACATTTAACTTTTTTAAGAGGTGACCGCTGACCCAGTGGTCACCGGATGTTAACGAATGTGACTGTACCACATAATGATGTTAATAACGTTGTTCTGTGGGGTAACTAATCTACATATTTTGATCCGATTGTTCAATTTTTACAGCGTTAAGTCTACAAAATAAAACTTGGAGGCTATAATCGTTTTCTCTGTTTGTTAACATCCATCTGTAACCTCGATGACCCCGGAACTCCCTCACTGAGGCTTTGGTTGGAGGAACTGTGACTTGACTACTTCTATGTATCAGGTAGAATGATTTTCTTCTTGTTTTTGCTTGATGTTGTCACTGGATGAAACTGGATATACGAGAAAATGACAACATCCTTTATTCTCTGAATGTACCAGCCCTCATTCTTTAGGTTGAACTAGATCACATTCGTATTCATTTGAATTGATTTCAGTGGTGCTTCGAAAAATAGATGCATTTTTATACATTCCAGATAATGAAGGCCTTTGGTCTTTGTGAGTGACACTCAACTATTCTTATTATTTAACGGGTCATTTCTTAGGTTCGCTGTATAAATTTAGAATGACCCCTAGCTACAGTTTTGGTATGGTGTATCATGATACCTAACCGCTTGGGATAATTAACAGTCACATTTCTAAAATGATCAACAGATTTTGATCAGTATGAGGTACTGGAATGAAACAGTCATAACTATCCATGGATTGGCTGATCAAAAATCGTTCAGTTAATGAAATTGAGTCTACTTGGAACAACTTACCATATACTATTAAACAGCATGAGTATTTACAGGTCACACAGGTCACATTTGCAGCTCAACAATTCATTGATTTGCCAGGATAATGGAGCGACTTAAAAGGTTACTCAGGCTACTTCTTAGTTAACCGATTTCAGAACTCTATTCAGTGAAAAACTACCTTCACAGCCGAAATGCAAAGCTTTGACTAGTCATTTCCATAGTTGTTAGACTAGTCTTTAAAATCCAGCTGCTTAGTGGCAGCCCACAGAGCAGCCTCATTGTCTAGATCGACTGAGTTTAGTTGGATGGCTGACTGACCATATGCTGTGTCATGTATGAGTATTGTCACACACTTGTATCGAGATCCATGTAGACCCTTTTCAAATTAAGCACCAACTGTTTTGAATTATGGGTAAGGCTTTGTGGCTCAGAATGGGGATGATGGTGGTTCATTGTTCTCTAAGATTTAGTATTTAGTCACAGACTTTTCTCCACTTGGCTTGGTGACATCTTTCGCATAGATTTCTTTCTGAACCACCATCTATATACTAATGATGAGATGTTAGAAGATATGATATTTCACAAGTTAAAACGTCCCTTCATTAATGCCTATAAATTTTTATACATATTTATTAAATCCAAAAAACTCAGAGTAACTTATTTGGTTGTAGCCAGCAGAAGAATTTAGGACGCGCTTTCCGTCCTATTTGGGACTTGTTAGCTGGATGTACCTACACACCAGTGAGTAGTGTTGTTCCCACTGAGACTCGAACTTCATGCCCATCACTTCAAACTCCAGGGCGTTATCCACTAATCTATTAAAGCACGATAGCCACATCTTACACAACGGGTATTAGCTATTACCACTTGTTGTATAGCTTGCATGTCTCCGTTGTTTTACAGGACGGAATTGTTCGACCTCTGTTGGCTCATTTGTGGATGCTCCGATATTGCCTGAATATTTATTATAATAATTTACTTGGTTATGGCTAGCAGAAGAATCCAGAACGCCCGTTTCGTCCCATTTGGGACTCATCAGGCGGATGTGCCCGCACCCCAGTGAACGACATTGTTCCCATTGTTCCCACCTGCAATCGAGGTCAGACAATTCGACCCAGTGAAACAATGGAGAATCACAAACATATCACAAATAGTAAGAACTCACGATAATTAATTTTACTACTTTAGATTGATTTAGGCTAATACCATCTGGGTGGGTAAACTTCAATATAGTGGTACAATAAATTGCTACCTTCTGAAACTCTTCAAAATTTCTGAGGTATAGATCGATTGAGTAATCGTAGTTTCTTTGATAAATGTTAACTATGACATTAAAAACATGAAATTCAGCTAAGAAGATTTTTTTCAAAGAATTTACCCTCAATTTGTTTATGTATATAATATTTGAAGACTAAAGTTCATCAGGAAATTTAAATCTGAATAATTGGAGTTGAGACTAACAGTGGTGATTGTTACAATTAAAAAGTGGTTGTTGGTTGACGATACATAAGTTGAGTGTTTAGAAAAAAATGGTCTTGCTAGAGCTTTGGGTTGATCATGGGGTGCATACACAGATTACAAACTGATTGAAAACATGATAGAGTTAACAAAGAAACAAAGGACTGGGTAACATGAATGAGACAAGTTAGTCGAGCTAAGATGAAAAATGTTTTATTAAAATTTGGAATTATTGAAAAGATTAAGTAAAATAACCACGGAAACTGTCAAATCCAAAATTGTTACTTATAAAGGTATTAAAAGAGTGCCAAGAATGATCTAACAAAATGGGAAATCGACAAAACAAAACAAAGACAAAGACAAAGATTGTACATACTTCTTTGGCGTGGAGATGTCAGCCTTCAGTAAATGAATATCCAAAGCCTCCTCTGTTCTCATAATTTGAAAAAGAAAATGTCAGGTATTTAAGCGGACTTGCTGGACAAGTACAAAATCAATGTTTGAGTCAGTTGAATGGCTGAAATCAAGGTGTTAGAGGATAAAGCTTCTAAAGTATTTTCTTTCATCCTTTTGAAAGCCACCATTTAAATTTTCTCATGGATTTCAGTCTTTAGACAAGATGCACATGTGAAAGTACAGCTTGAGAAAAAAAATTCGTTGGACATGGTTCTCACTGGTGGTTTTTTTTCGTTTTGTGCACCTGTATTCAACAAACGATGAGCTAAGCGGTAACGCTCATTATTTTATGTCCACTTCTAGTACTATTGTTTACACGAATTTGCAAAAAAACCATATCAGTGGTGATTCGATAGTTTTAACCAATCAGGAGTCACCTAGATTGGTGATAAACCATTTAGTATGACAAAAAGCAAGAACTAGAATGACCAATGTTTAGCGATACTGGATATGTTTGTCTATTCACAAACGTCGCATAATCAGATGGAGTAACTTTGTCTGCTCTAGTAAATCTTATGGTTGAATAAGACGGAGTTCTTTACTTTGTGTATTATCGTCATTAAAATAGCATCGCTTCCGAGTTTAACCTTCAACCTGATGTTGATACGTTGTTGATTTCGAACAAGCTTACCACACACTGAAGTGATCCTGTTATTTACAAAAGGCTTTATACACCTTTCACCTTACCACTGTTTTTCATTAATTTCTTAGACTGAACTAGCCCACCTAGTTCTGTTTAGTTAACAAGCATGTGAACCATTAGTTATTGAAACTGCCTGTTACGTATATGAACCAAACTAAACTAGCAGACTTCGGTCACAAGTTAACAAAACTTCATAACTTTTATTATCAGGAGAGGAAATTACTACCTATCGCGATCACTGTTATTCTAAATGCACATGCAGTTAACGACAAAGGAAAATTACAAACTTTCCGTTGAAGTAATTAAATATCATGTGCTTATGATTAATCTTTACTTTTGTGAAATCTTTTTTTCCCATAGGTACCATTTGTTCCACTATTACCATGTCTTACACTCACCTTGAATACACTTCTTATTTTTCAAGTCAAATGGTTCACCTGGTTACGTTATATTGTTTGGATTGTAATTGGTGAGCACCATTTACTATTTATTATAAAAATTAAAAAACTATACTTAACCACCATTTTTTTAAATTAGTATGTACTTCTCAACCCCTAAACTTCAGAAAATTAAAACACTGTTATCATGATGCCGAAGTTAATCATCGATATCTGTCACTTTTTTAGATCACTAATCTTAAAACCTATCACGTTGGTAATGAATTTTTCAAATGGGAGCATACTTGTGTGATAATAATTCAGCTTACTTTTTGATGGTGTTGTGTTCTCTGAACTGAATGACCTAATCCTGTGAGTATTCCTTTCAGCTTCCTCGACAGTTTGTTGGTGTTTACAAATCCGATAATGAGCCTCTGTGATCATCAGCTGTACCATAAATATTCCACTTCTTTTCGCTACTTTCTACCCTTTTGTTTAGCTCAGAGAACTCAACACCAACACAATCATTCTCCTGAACTATAAGTAATTATTGAGTTAATGAGGTAAAAGGATACTGTTGTTTCGACGTCCATTTCTTTTGAGAATCAAAAATTCTCATCCACTCACGAAGTACGTTATAGAAGGCTTCAGAAAATACTAGACATTGGGAAGTTAACCCATGCATGAAGTAGGCGGTTAATCTGATCATTCACACCAAAATAAAACAAATCGATTTTCCACTCGTTGAGGACTGCTAGATAACAGCTACATGTTCGCAAATCACGAAAAGGTGCAGAGTGGTATTGTTTTCTTTGAGCATAGTATTAATTTGCGATGAAACTGTGCTGCCAATAACTTCCGAAATAGATTTAACTTGGTCAGTAACGAAAAATTACTCTTTGAGAACTACCACAGACTCAAGATATGCGGTTATCTTGGAATTACATTAGGTCGACGGCTGGTTGTGCTAAGTAGTTCTACTTAACTGTACTTTATCATAAACATTCAGTTACATCTTATATGGGTTACTAAGCAGAGCAAGTTGTTTAGCTGTCATGTTTTCAAAATCACTATTGAAAAAGGAAGAAAATTATTTGGTTACAGGATAGTGTAGTGATCAGTGTTATGTTAAATTTTGACAAAATTCTGTCTATCAAATTCATCTTTTGATCGCCAAGTTATAATTGAGAAACTTAATTCACTGCATTTGACATAAAGGTTTTTTAAGGAAATAAGCAGTAGGCCCTACTTAGCTCACACCGGTTTCACTCTTCATCACCACCATGGTGATTACCATCAATGTAGTGAAGTCATAACCTGTCACTTGCAGAACTAGTAATGTTAGTACATGCAATTTAGTCAGACGCTGCGCAAATTTCTCATTAATGGTATCTCTGACTATGGTTCCGAAGGGTGTGGTTTTGAATATCTAAGACAGCATGAAGTGTCTTAAGTTTTTAAAAAGATATCAACCAGATTTCTTCCTCAATCTGGGCTACAAATCTTCCGTACTATCTGAAAGACACCCTAATAAGCAGTTAAGCACCGCTTCCTACCCATGGTATGCTATTATACATAATGAAACTTTCGGTAGCTGGTTGTCCATTAATATCTTTTCGGAAGTGGCACACAGATTTATTCCGTCCAGATGGCTGAAATGGTTGTGGATGACCAAAATGTTATTTATCAGTGAAGATGATACTGGCAACAATGAAGCCTTAAACATGTTGATCGAAATGCGGACACATAACCAACTGGTTATTTGTATCATGGCGTGCAAAAGCCTACCGCACAAAGAATAATAAAACCGCTTAATTAGTTAGGAATCTTGAACCAGGATGAACTGTTCAGATTAAAACATAATTTATGCTAATGATTTATTGTCACTGTTTCAAATATATCCTATCAGTCTGTAGTAGTCTTTCTGATCCCAATCTAAACACCACGTATAGTCTGAAACAGGTTACAACCCGTGGTCTGGAAACTTCCCTGCTTGTTGCGTAAACTTCACCAAATTTCTAACCAAGGTAACAATGACAATAAGAATAACAATAATAGCCGTAACAGAAATTAAAATTCTATTTATGCCCAGCATACTGTCTAAAAATCGAACATCATTATTACTCATGCTTGAAAGGGATAGTATGTGGAGTGTACAAAGTCATAAAAGTTCATTAGCTTTCACATTACGACGGAAGATGTGTTTCCATCTGCATGGTGTGTCACATACATTAGGTGAGCCTACGTCATACTAGGTAGTACATAGGGAAGCTATGGCTGATTTGCCAAATCGTTTAACTTGTCTAGTTACCTTCAAAACAGACTACAAGGATAGTTAAAAAGTCAAACACCTGTAAACCGAGTGAAGATGAAGACGGTGTGTGTGCAGAACAGATTGCTTTCATTGGAAAATATATAACAGGTCAGTGTTATGCAACAAGAAATGCATTTGTTATAAACAGTTCAAACTATCTACCCTTTTTACCATATTTTTCTGTATACATTGACTATCTGCTTTTTTTCTACTTAGGCTTGATCATTTACTTTGTGTTCAGTGTGAGAAATACCTATCGCCTCTCTGGAGGAAGTGAAAGTGTAGCTTCCTCCACTTGTTTAAGTGATATCGAGTATGAAAACAGATCCTCAAAGAGTACAAGTTCCACTGATGGATCAGCTGAATACTAAATGAATAAATTTGTTTTTTTCTTTTAAAAAAGGCTTGTCTGTTTGGTATTTTGAGGATTTCTCTTATTTCAGCTAACTGCTTATGATTACCAGCTACAAAATCTTTTTCTGTTGACTAAGTGAAAACACATTCTTTGACATTCTGATGTCATCTTGAAAAACTGGACAGCATTCTTACACATTTGTTCATGTTAAATTACTAAATGGTGTCAATTTCTCATAAAAATTAAAAAAGCTGTTAATCGTTCTCATTTGTTTAAATTTAATATATGAATAGTCAAAGAGATCGAATAGGTAAAAACTTGTTTTAGCGCAAAGGAAATACTCTGGTTGATAAACTGGATTAAAATATGTGCTTGGATGATGTTCTAAACCAAAATTAAAATCGCTCTGACTAAGCTAATGAAATGCTGTTGTACGACGACTGTCTATTAGAATCAACCCATGTTTTCGAGCTCTGAACCCAACTATCGAACAATATGAATTTTGGTCTCCAAAAAAGTACATGAACAACTTTATACATCAAGTTTAGTATTCTGTGGTTGAAAGTGTTTCGCAAAGTCTTCAGATAAATTTTCACGCTCATCAACGCTAATCGGCTAGGAGTATACACATGATCAAAGAAACTCATATATTTCTGGGTTTCAGGTTCATTTTGATCAAGAAAAATCATAAGTAATACCCTGACTGTAATTAACTTCTTGGGAACTGGATAAATTGAGCTAAAACGTTACAGAACGTTTCTGTTTTGAGTGTTGACTTACACTATTTTGCTTATTATACAGTTCTAAAGTGTCATGGTTGAATTTTGCCTGACATACAGTCAGGACTCTATGTTGTATCAAGGTTTTTTTTGTCAATATGAAGTCATAATCTCAGAAATCATTTCTTCATTCCCTGCTCTTGGAATCGAATTTAGGATACTTAAATACAACAGTTTAAAGTCAATCTTAAAGTTATTGAAGCTAACTCAGCTGGTTTCAACCATCAATCAGTAGCTTACATTGCAGTGTACAAGGGTCATATCACCTAGAGGCAGCTGGCTAGACCATGACTTAATTACTTTTTCTTATCAATTGGAAGTGCCATCATAATGATTTACACAAAAGTAATTTGCGGGTAATTTAAGTGTATTTTTGACTAGAATAAACCCTGTGTGAGTACCAGCTTCAAATGGAAACTTCTGAGATGGGCAAAATGTGAACTTCAGAAGCAGTTAAAAGGAGAAGAAAGAATTAGGATTGGGATATCGTTTGCAGATAAATGGGTCACAACTGATTCCTTGATATGATTCCTTTCAGTTTATGACCTTAACTTTGATAATATTGTTGTTATGATCTCAATAATATGTTTATGATATAAACTGTAAAGACTAATGACGTAAGGACATGAGAAAATTCCGTAAAAATGCTGTGTCCCCTATCCATAAGGTATCCTAATATCGACTTACAGATCGATTTGATCATTAGCCTTCAAGAATGGTAAACCACTGGTTATCTGGTGATAAAAGCTGTATTATTTGACTCTAAAAAAAGGGTTCAGTAATTTATTGTAA